GCGTCGTGCACCAATCTGGCGAGCTGCGTTTTGACACTATCGCGCTCAGCGCGACCCCAACGTCGCCACCAGCGGAGCCGGAGCCATCGCCGCCGTCACTGCCACCCTCATGCGACAACTCATGCGGCGCGACAACCTGCCTGCAGCTGCGAGGTATTCTATCGTGCGAAGATCTCATCGTAAATCTCGGCTGCGATTGTCACGGCTGCTGCGTGGACAACAGACCCTCACCAGGCACGCCGCCGCCGCCGCCAAGCACACGACCCTCGCCACCGCCACCGTCAGAGTCTCCGAAATCGCCGCCGCCGCCGTCGCCGCCGCCGTCGCCGCCGCCCTCGCCGCCGCCCTCGCCGCCGCCGCCCTCGCCGCCGCTCGACTGCCCGTGCCTCACCGCCTACCCGACCGGCGTCAGCCTCGTGAGCGGCGAGGTGCAGGTCGTCGCGGCGGACGGCGTGAGCCTCGCGTACCCCGGCACGTACGGCCTCCACGGGTGCGACTCGCACGACAGCGGGCTCGAGCCGTCCTGCAACTCGACCGGCTACCCCGGCTGGTGCGAGCACGAGTGGTGCTACGTCGACCCGACCGCGTGCAACACCGAGTACAGCACGACCGCGTACGTGGTGGGCGCCACCCTGCACTACTCGTACCGTGCGTGCGGCTTCAGCAACGAGTTCGAGAGCTGGTTCTACCAGCCGCCGCCGCCGTCGCCGCCGCCGTCGCCGCCGCCGCCCTCGCCGCCGCTCGACTGCCCGTGCCTCACCGCCTACCCGACCGGCGTCAGCCTCGTGAGCGGCGAGGTGCAGGTCGTCGCGGCGGACGGCGTGAGCCTCGCGTACCCCGGCACGTACGGCCTCCACGGGTGCGACTCGCACGACAGCGGGCTCGAGCCGTCCTGCAACTCGACCGGCTACCCCGGCTGGTGCGAGCACGAGTGGTGTTACGTCGACCCGACCGCGTGCAACACCGAGTACAGCACGACCGCGTACGTGGTGGGCGCCACCCTGCACTACTCGTACCGTGCGTGCGGCTTCAGCAACGAGTTCGAGAGCTGGTTCTACCAGCCGCCGCCGCCGTCGCCGCCGCCGTCGCCGCCGCCGCCCTCGCCGCCGCTCGACTGCCCGTGCCTCACCGCCTACCCGACCGGCGTCAGCCTCGTGAGCGGCGAGGTGCAGGTCGTCGCGGCGGACGGCGTGAGCCTCGCGTACCCCGGCACGTACGGCCTCCACGGGTGCGACTCGCACGACAGCGGGCTCGAGCCGTCCTGCAACTCGACCGGCTACCCCGGCTGGTGCGAGCACGAGTGGTGCTACGTCGACCCGACCGCGTGCAACACCGAGTACAGCACGACCGCGTACGTGGTGGGCGCCACCCTGCACTACTCGTACCGTGCGTGCGGCTTCAGCAACGAGTTCGAGAGCTGGTTCTACCAGCCGCCGCCGCCGTCGCCGCCGCCGTCGCCGCCGCCGCCCTCGCCGCCGCTCGACTGCCCGTGCCTCACCGCCTACCCGGCCGGCGTCAGCCTCGTGAGCGGCGAGGTGCAGATCGTCGCGGCGGACGGCGTGAGCCTCGCGTACCCCGGCACGTACGGCCTCCACGGGTGCGACTCGCACGACAGCGGGCTCGAGCCGTCCTGCAACTCGACCGGCTACCCCGGCTGGTGCGAGCACGAGTGGTGCTACGTCGACCCGACCGCGTGCAACACCGAGTACAGCACGACCGCGTACGTGGTGGGCGCCACCCTGCACTACTCGTACCGTGCGTGCGGCTTCAGCAACGAGTTCGAGAGCTGGTTCTACCAGCCGCCGCCGCCGTCGCCGCCGCCGTCGCCGCCGCCGCCCTCGCCGCCGCTCGACTGCCCGTGCCTCACCGCCTACCCGACCGGCGTCAGCCTCGTGAGCGGCGAGGTGCAGGTCGTCGCGGCGGACGGCGTGAGCCTCGCGTACCCCGGCACGTACGGCCTCCACGGGTGCGACTCGCACGACAGCGGGCTCGAGCCGTCCTGCAACTCGACCGGCTACCCCGGCTGGTGCGAGCACGAGTGGTGCTACGTCGACCCGACCGCGTGCAACACCGAGTACAGCACGACCGCGTACGTGGTGGGCGCCACCCTGCACTACTCGTACCGTGCGTGCGGCTTCAGCAACGAGTTCGAGAGCTGGTTCTACCAGCCGCCGCCGCCGTCGCCGCCGCCGTCGCCGCCGCCGCCCTCGCCGCCGCTCGACTGCCCGTGCCTCACCGCCTACCCGGCCGGCGTCAGCCTCGTGAGCGGCGAGGTGCAGGTCGTCGCGGCGGACGGCGTGAGCCTCGCGTACCCCGGCACGTACGGCCTCCACGGGTGCGACTCGCACG